ACCCAGAAGGATACTTTGCACACTTCAATCCAACCAAGTTGACAATATTAACCATCACAGGAGTTGTTTATGCAAGAATTCTGTAAGTTGAATGGGGACAGGGGCTTTTTATAAAAATTTTAGCTCATTTCATCTGCAGCACTTAGCATATTGCCTGACAGTTAATGCTCAAAATGTTTAATGATTGAGTGATGTTAACATGTGTAGACAAAGTCAGTCATAGAGATCTAACACAATGCATAGTCCATCATTCCTATACCACCAACAAATAGCTCTGGAAATGTTCTGATACATCCACATTTCAGACATTAGCTTGCATTTCCAAAGAAAGAAACACAACCTTAAAAAAAAACACATGATATGATCCCTTTATTATTGTAACATAGCAGTAGTTAAGATTTCGTATTGGTACCTATGGCCTTATAGTATAGTTTGAAATCAGGTAGTGCAGTGCCTCCAGATTTGTTCTTTTTGCTTAGTCTTCCTTTGGCTATGCAGGCTCCTTTTTGTTTCTATATGAATATTAGAATTGTTTTTTTAACTCTGTGAAGAATGATGGTGGTATTTTGATGGGGATTGTGTTTAATTTGTAGATTGCTTTTATTGGTACGGTCTTTTTCACAATACTGATTCCTATGAGCATGGGATGTGTTTCCACGTGTTTGTGTCATCTATGATGTCTTTCAGCAGTGTTTTGTAGTTTTCCTTGTAGAGGTCTTTCGACTCCTTTGTTAGATATATTCCTAAGTATCGTATTTTTTATTTTATTTTATTTTTTGCATCCATTGTAAAAGCAGTTGAGTTGTTGATTTGATTCTCCTTTTGGTCAATGTTGGTGTATAGAAGAGCTATTGATTTCTGTACATTAATCTTGTATCTGGAAACTGCACTGAATTCTTTTATCAGTTCTAAGAGCTTTCTGGAGGCGTCCTTAGGGTTTTCAAGGTAAAGGATCGTATCATCAATAAGCAGTAACTGTTCGACTTCCTCTTTACCAATTATTTGTTTCTCTTGTCTGATTGCTCTGGCTAGGACTTCCATTACTATGTTGAAGAGGAGTGGCGAGAGTGGGCATCCTTGTTTTGTTCTGGTTCTCAGAGAGAATGCTTTCAACTTTTTGCCCATTCAGTATTATCTTGGCTATGGGTTTGTCATAGACGACTTTTTATTACATTAAGGTATCTCCTTTGTATGCCGATGTTGCTAAGGGTTTTAATCATAAAGAGGCACTGGATTTTTTCCAATGTTTTTTCTGCATCTATTGAGATGTTAATGTGGTTTTTGTTTTTAATTCTGTTTATGTGGTATACCACATTTATTGACTTACATATATTAAGCCATCCCTGCATCCCTGGTATGAAACCCACTTGATCTTAGTGGATTGTCTTTTTACTACCTTGTTGGATTCAGTTAGCTAGTATTTTGTTAAGGATTTTAGCATCTGTGTTCATCAAGAATATTGGTCTGGAGTTTTATTTTTTGGTTGTATTCTTTCCCAGTTTTGGTATTAGGGTGATGCTGACTTCATAGAATGAATTAGGGAGGGTTCCTTCTTGCTCTATCTTGTGGAATGGTGTCAAAAGATTGGTACAAGAATGTCTGGTAGAATTCTGCTGTGAATCTACCTGGTCCTGGACATTTTTTTTGTTGGTAATTTTTAAATTACCATTTCAATCTCACTGCTCGTTATTGGTCTGTTTAGGATACCTAATTCTTCTTGATTTAAGCTAGGAGGGTTGTATTTTCCAGGAATTTATCCGTTTCTTCTGGGTTTTCTAGTTTATGTTGTCCATAGTGGCCTTGAATGATCTTTTGTATTTCAATGATGTCAGTTGTAATATCTCCTGTTTTGTTTCTCAGTGAGGTAACTTGGTTTCTCTCCTTTTTTTTAGTTAATCTTGCTAAAGGTCTATCAATTCTATTTATCTTTTCAAAGAACTAGATTTTTGTTTCATTTACCTTTTGTATGTTTTTATGTTTCAATTTCATTTAGTTCTGCTCTGATCTTAGTTATTTCCTTTCTTCAGCTGAATTTGCGTTTGATTTGTTTTTGTTTCTTTAGCTCCTTGAGGGGTGACCTTAGATTGTCTGTGCTCTTTCAGGCTTTTTGATGTAGGTGTTTAGGGCTGTGAACTTTTCTCTTAGCACTGCCTTAGCCATATCCCACAGGTTTGATGAGGTTGTGTCATTATTGTCATTCAGTCTGAAGAATTTTTAAATTTCTATCTTGATTTCGTTTTTCACCCAATGTTTGGAAGCAGGTTCTTTGATTTCCATGTGTTTGCATGGTTTTGAAGGTTCCTTTTGGAGTTCATTTCCAGTTTTATTCCACTATGGTCTGAGAGAGTGCTTGATACATTTTCAATTTTCTCAAATTTATTGAGGCTCATTTTATGGCCTATCATATGGTCTATCTTGCAGAAACGGATAAATTCCATGCTCTGTTGAATAAAATGTGTATTCTGTGATTCTTGGATGAAATGTTCTGTATATATCTTTTAAGTCCATTTGTTCCAAGGTGTAATTTAAATACATTGTTTCTTTGTTGACTTTCTGTCTTGATGACCTGTCTAGTGCTGTCAGTGGAGTATTGAGGTCCCCCACTACTGTTGTGTTGCTGTCTATCTCATTTCTTAAGTCTACTAGTAACTGTTTTATAAATTTGGGAACATGGCACTGGTATGAAAATAGGGAGATAGACCAATGGAACAGAATAGAGAACCCGGAAATAAACCCAAATACTTAGAGCCAACTGATCTTCAACAAAGCAAACAAAAACATAAAGTTGGGAAAAGACACCCTTTTCAACAAATGGTGCTGGGATAATTGACAAGCCACATGTAGGATAATGAAATTGGATCCTCATCTCTCATCTTATACAAAAATCAACTCAAGATGGATAAAAGACTTAAACCTAAGACCTGAAACTAGAAAAATTCTAGAAGATAACATTGGAAAATCCCTTCTAGACAGTGGCTTAGGCAGGGATTTCATGAACAAAAACCCAAAAGCAAATGCAATAAAAACAAAGATAAATAGCTAGGACCTAACTAAACTAAGAGCTTTTGCACAGCATAAGGAACAGTCAACAGAGTACACAGACACCCCACAGAGTGGCAGAAAAATCTTCACAATCTGTACATCTGACAAATGACTAATATCCAGAATCTACAATGATCTCAAACAATTCAGTAAGGAAAAAACAAACAATCCTATAAAAAAGTGGGCTAAAGACATGAATAGGGCCTGGCGTGGTGGCTCACGCCTGTAATCCCAGCACTTTGGGAGGCCGAGGCGGGTGGATCACAAGGTGAAGAGATTGAGACCATCCTGGTCAACATGGTGAAACCCCGTCTCTACTAAAAGTACAAAAAAATTAGCTGGGCATGGTGGTGTGTGCCTGTAATCCCAGCTACTCAGGAGGCTGAGGCAGGAGAATTGCCTGAACCCAGGAGGCAAAGGTTGCGGTGAGCCAAGATCGTGCCATTGCACTCTAGCCTGGGTAACAAGAGCGAAATTCCGTCTCAAAAAAAAAAAAAAAAAAAAAAAAAAAAAGACATGAATAGGCAATTCTCAAAAGAAGATATACAAATGGACAACAAGCATGTGAAAAAATGCTCGACATCACTAATGATCAGGGAAATGCAACTCATTACGACAATGCGATACCACCTTACACCTGCAAGAACGGCCATTATCAAAAAATGAAGAAATAGTAGATGGTGCAGATGCAGTGAACAGGGAACACTTCTACACTGCTGGTGGGAATGTAAACTAGTACAGCTGCTATGGAAAACAGTGTGGAGATTCCTTAAATAACTAAAAGTAGAACTACCATTTGATCCAGCAATCCCAGTACTGAGTAGCTACCCAGAGGAAAAAAAATCATCATTCGAAAAAAGATACTTGCACACGTGTTTATAGCAGCACAATTCATAATTGCAAAATCGTGGAACCAACCCAAACGTCCATCAGTCAATGAGTGGATAAAGAAACTGTTTTACACACACACACACACACACACACACACACAGTATAGTACAGAGTACAGAAGTAAAAAGTACAGAGTGGGTGAGAGATGGCATATTCTCCATCTCCTTCTGCACAGATTCAGATACATATTGTGTTTCAAGACAAGAAGTACAGAGTGGGGAGAGATGGCATCCTTACCTGGAACCTTGCAGGTTGGTTTACTGCATGAACTTCATGTTCTCAGAGGTATAGTCTCTCATGACATGTGATTTACCAGTTTGCTCCATATATATATATATATATACGTATATATATATATATGATGGAACACTACTCAGCCATAAAAAGGAATTAAATAACAGCATTTTCAGTGACCTGAATGAGATTGGAGAGAGTTATTCTAAGTGAAGTAACTCAGGAATGGAAAACCAAACATCATATGATCTCACTGATAGGTGGGAGCTAAGCTATGAGGATGCAAAGGCAGAAGAGTGAAACAGTGGACTTTGGGGACCTGGGGGTAAGAGTGGGAAGGGGGTGAGGGGTAAAAGACTACAAATGTGGTGCGGTGTATACTGCTCTGGTGATGGGTGCACCAGGAACTCACAAAAGAACTTATGTGACAAATACCACCTTTACCCCAATAACTTACGAACCACTAAAGAACTTATTCATGTAACCAAATACTACCTGTACCCCCAATAACTTATGGAAAAATAAAAAAAAAATTTGTATATCATTGTCTGACAAATTTGGGTTTGGGTCCCAGCTCAGCTTCTTACTGGTTATATGACTCTTGATTTTCCTTATCTATAAAATGAGACTAATAGTAGTATCTACCTTGTGGGTCATTCTGAAGATTCAGTGAGCAAAGTATGTATAACACCAATAATTTAATAGGAATTCTAGAAATACTCGCTATGCCTCTTCCCTTGATGCATAATAAAATAGATGTTACTTGTGATTGCTTTTGAATTTTGTGATTTGGTTCATGTTGCCTAACATATTCTCCATCTCCTTGCACACAGATTCAGAGACATATTGTGTGTTTCAAGACAAGAAGTACAGAGTGGGTGAGAGATGGCATCCTTACCTGGAACCTTATGGGTTGGTTTACTGCGTGAACTGCATCTGCTCAGAGGTACAATCTCTCAGGACATGTGATTTCCAAGTTTGCTCCACAGCATGCTGAGGGGCTTTCAGTGCCCAGATGGCCAGGGACCATGGGTGATAAAATCCTGAAAGAAAGTAAAGAAGCAGACCGGTCGCGCTGGCTCACGCCTATAATCCCAGCACTTTGGGAGGCTGAGACATGAAGATCATTTCAGCCCAGGTGTTCTAGGACCAGCATGGGTAACATGGCAAAATCTCATATCTGCAAAAAAAATACAAAAATTAGCTGGGTGTGGTAGCACATGCCTGTTGTTCCAGCTACTTGGGAAGCTGAGTTGGGAGTATCATTTGAGCTCAGAACTTTTGGGCTCAAGTGAGCCGAGACTGCACCACTGTACTCCAGCCTGGGCAACAGAATAAGACCCTATCTCATAAAATAAAAGAAGAAAGTAAGAAGTTTTCAAGGAAAAATAAACATTTTCTGTCTTTTGTTGTCTGTTGCTTTTCACCTTGATTTTCATAGGTTCTCTGAGTATTGGCTATGGACAGATATTTATAATCTCTTAACCTAATTTTATATGGCACTGTGGGAGAAGGCAGAAGAGCCCGACAGTGGGAATGTGGGCAACACCTCAATAGAATGTTTGGATTGTAAAACTAAGTAGTTTTTTGTTTATTTGTTTTTAGAGACAGAGTCTTACTCTGTCACCCGGGCTGGAGTGCAATGGCCTGATCTCGGCTCACTGCAACCTCCATCTCCCGGGTTCAAGCGATTCTCCTGCCTCAGCCTCCTGAGTAGCTGGGATTACAGGTGCCTGCCACCACACCCAGCTATGTTTTTGTATTTTTAGAAGAGATGGGGTTTCATTATGTTGACCAGGCTGGTCTCAAACTCCTGACCTCATGATCCGCTTGCCTTGGGCTCCCAGAGTTGTAGGATTGCAGGCATGAGACAACGTGCCCAGCTGACAAAGGAGTTTTTGAAAAGTATTTTTAAGTCTGACTTTTAGGGAGTAGATTAAGACAAATTATAAACTGGCTCATTGGGAGAGTGGATTCTATGTTGTCTCAGCCAGTAACTGTAATGTAATTAAGGCTGAGTTTGTAAAACCTTGGCCTGTACCTGGTAAGGTTTAGAGTTCCCTCGGCTTAGCCTTGCCACCTGTTCAGTCATTCAGAGAGGATTTTGGATGGCTTAAATACCATCTTTACAATAGATAAAGCAGGTTGTTCCATCTTCTTTCCATGGCCTTGACCCAGGAGCACAGCTGAGGTCAATCTTTCTGAACAAACCTCTACCATCATATGTTAGGCTAGAGTTTCTTGTTCTCTGCACTGTTGACATTTGGCTGGGGGCTGTCCTGTGCATTTTGGGATGTTAAGCAGCATCCCTGGACTCTACCCATTAGATGACAAGAGCACCAACCCCAGTCATAATAACCAAAAATGTCTCCACAATGGCCAAGTTGGCTGGGGAGCAAAAATCACCCCTGGTGGAGAAGCAGTGTACTAGGCCAATTGGAAAGGGAGGCCTTGTACTAGGCATTGAGAATTCTGAACTTACACAAATAATTTTCACGACCAGCTTCTTACTTGACACCCTGTGTAAGGACTGCACCTCTTCCCTGATGCCCAGCTAAAGCAGGAACCGTCACTTGCAAACCTGGTCCATTTATCGTTTGAGCATAATTTTGGGCTGTCAGAATTTTGAGCATGTGGAAACTTAATTATCAGGTAATATCTGGCAATATTAAGAGGCTATGAGGCTCTAGAGTAAGGACAGACCAAGTTCCAAATCCTGCCTCTGCCACTTATGAGCCATTGGACAAGTTACCTGACCTCTATGAGATTCCTTCATCTTCTTCTTTTTATAAATGAGATAATGATATTACCTATTTCATCAGGTTCTGGTAAGGATTAAATTTATAAATTTATTTAAATCATTTAAAACAGTGCTTAGTCATGGTAAACATTCAATAAATATTAACAGCTGTTATTGTCATCATCATTATCCTTATCATTGTGGTTATCATCATTAATATTATTAATCTATTAACTCTAGAACAGAATTCACTATATAGCATTAAGGAGGATTCAGTTTAGACCTCACCTGGGAGGTGTGGTTTCTGATGTGCTTCAGTGATCTCAATTCAAGATTATATCACCTGCCTCTGAGGAGTGTGATATATCAGGAGCTTCTGTCATGTTGCCAAATGCAACACTCCAAAAAATTATTATAGAAAGTACACAAGGAAAGGAAAAGGTTGTGATAAGGCAATTCCAATTTGAATAAAAGAAGCCTGCCTCTTTAAATGGTTAGGGCACGTATTAAATAGATCATTTGGGGATTTATTAACTGCCTGGGATGGCCTGATTTCGTTGGATTCTTGATGCCACACATTTCGCTACATTGGAGACAGCTAATCATTGGGAGCTGAGGCTTTGATGTCTGCAAGGCCGTCAAAATGTTATTATGATCCCAGTTCCAACAGCTCACGCACAAGGCATCTTCTATTTCTCTGTCCTCTTCACTGCTTTCTTCCCCCACAACAGTGTGACAAGTACAAGTAGCCCTTGCAGCAAATGACATATGGATGAAAAATGTAAATGAAAAATTTGTTTCCAGAGTATGCCTTTGTTTTAGCAATGGTTGTGAGCTGTCAGAGCTAGGGATCTTGTAATTGTAAATCAGGCAGGGACCTAGTCGCCCCACTGAGACATACTACCTAATCAGCTAAATTCCAAACTCTAGCTTGTTCTCAGAAGAATTTTGGCTAAAAAAGGAAATGAGAAGGATAACTCGGTCCACTGGGCCAAGGCAGAGTTGTATGGAATCCAGGATCTATCTGCTAGGGATGCCTCCTTGCCCATGGCTGGGTAGCAGCTCAGGGGACACATTACTTATTATGTCTGTCATGTTACTAGACAGGTGATTATGAAATCAGAGTAGGTTCTTGGAAAAGATATGCAGCTAGAGCTGGGGAATAGTAGAAATGCCACAGAGCCAGGCCAGAAGCCTCCCACAATTAACGGGAAGCTCTGAAAATTGGAGTAGTGGTGATCTCAGCCTTAGAAAAAATATGCCAATAAACGATCAACCAACCCAGCAGAGGTGCTGGTGATGAGAAAAGGATAGAAAATGTTGAATGCATTCTGCTTCTTGGGAATGCGTTATTCACTGTCTGGGTGAGTCCCTGTGTGACTGTTTCCCAAACTGGCTTGATCCCAGAGACCTTTGAAAGACATTTATTTTTTCTCATTGCCTTCTCTTTTTCAGAATGGGAATGTGCTTTGCAGCCGAGTCAGATGTCCAAATGTTCATTGCCTTTCTCCTGTACATATTCCTCATCTGTGCTGCCCTCGCTGCCCAGGTAAACCGATTTGTCTCTTTTTTTCCTAGCTGTAGTTCTACATCTTCCCTATTCACCCAACTCAACTCATCTTCCTAATTCCCCAGAAGGGAAACTTCCAGACATATAACAATTGGAACTTCTAGGCAGTCCAAAGTGGCCTCTAAATACTTTTTATAGCCCAAATGGGGTACGTTCTAAAATCTGATAAGTTATTGGATACTCAATAACAGATTTTTATTAGGCTTTGAGTCATTTGAAGGTGGGTGACAATTGGAGATGGAAATTGTGGCCCAGAGATTTTCTGCCGTAAGCAGCCTCTTCCTGCCACGGGCAGCAGGCACCAGGAGAGTTACAGCATGGCGGCATGTGTCTTATGCAATTAGTGCTGGAATTGCACCCAAGCATAGATTCTAAATTATGAGGGGGCCATTCATAAATCAAAGGAGCTGAACCAGTGAGGTTTATGACAGTATAAACCTGCCTGCCTGCTGAATAGTCACCTCCTCCAGACTGCACAGTTATTATGTACACATTGTTAGGAGTAATTCTAAGGGGAAGCCAGGCAGAGACTTTTTCACAAGGCTGTTAGGACGTCTACTTTCACGAATTGAGGCTAGGGTATTTGTCTGAGGCAGGGGCTCCCTCAATGACACTTTGTTCACATCTGACTGGGGCCTAGTTCCCACCCCAAAAGTGTGTAAGTGTGGAGTGATTCAGAGAATACCTGTGGGCCCAATGGCAGACCTAGGAAAAGCTGCTTGACACTCTTGGGATCTGTGAAGCAGAAGTCTTATCATCCTGTAGGTTGATTATATTTCCCTTTAGGGTAGAAATTGTTGAACTAGGGTTCCTGGGTGGGCATTTGGGGGTCAGAGAACCCTTTAAAATTGTTTGCAGGTTTTGGCATAACTATATATATGTGTAAATTCCTTTAGAGAAGATCCACAGCTTTATTATCAGTCCCAAAGGGGTGTACATGAAGAACAACTACCCTAGCTAAGGCATAGATGGTGCTTTTTAAGTGATGAGAAACTTCCAGAACTTATAAGAGAGAAACCAAATGTATCAGGGCAAAAATATCAGGAATAAGACTGGGAATGGGGATCAATGAAAACCCAGTCAACTGAAATTTTACAAGAGTGGTTTAATTTTTTTTAATCGAGAAGAAACACCCGAACCCTTTTTGTCACCACCTTTGTAATATATATTTTCCTGCGTCAGTAAATACACCCTAATGAACACAGGTGATTCATTTCTGTATGGCAGAAGATCATGCCATATCACAGGTTTCCAAATTCTGAGTGTTGGTACTGATAGTATATGCCTTAAGATGTCAGAGATTGACTTGGCATACGACCAACCTAAAAGTTGGTTTTTTTATTTAATAAGTCCGTAAGTATGGCTTACTGTTTCTGTATGTGTTTATTTGCTTCTTCTTCCTAAATTGGATTGCAAAAATGTGGTATTGGGTGTGGGGCACTCTGGTAAATGGAAACAATGTTTCTGATAAAGTTGCCAATCTGGAGAGCTTTTTTTTTTTTTAACCTGCCAGGTAGTCCATCAAATAGCCTCATAAAAGCTTTTTATTCCCCAGAAGTCTCCAAAAGTGGTCTAATGTCATAGGAACTTATCTAAACTTCTGTGTCAAGATTGTTCTTCCCTGGGAAGAAGGTTGAGGCATGACCCAGACCCAGAGCATGGGACAAAAGAACGTAGAATAGAATATGGCTGCACCTACCCCAGCCGCCTAACAGGAAGCAAGTATTGATAAAAAGGGAAAGAATAAGCTAGCAGTTATTTTGAGAGAAAAAGAAAGTGTTAAAACAACTGAGCTCAGAAATCCAGGGGTGAGTGCAGCTCACTTCTCTGTGAGTTCATTTTTCTTCTTGGTACCCATAACCTTTAACGGCTATTTCTGTGGGTAGTAGTTCTAAAGTTCCTTAATCCTTATATATATTTTTAAAGTGTTTATTTTACCCTCATTCGAATGATAATGTGGCTTAGTATGAAATTATAGGTGCATGTTCATGTCCCCTCAGCACTTTGGAGCTACTACTACATGATTTGTTGGCTTTTTTGTTTATTTGTTTGTGGGTAAGAATTCTGCTATTTGTACTTCTTTCGCGGGTTCTTCTGGTTCTTTTCCTTCTAGCTTTTAAAACTTTCTTCTTTTCATTGATGCACACAATGAGATAGGTAAATTTGATTATTTTTCTTCAGCCTCCTCAGCACATGATTTTTTCAGCCAAAGGAGTCAAATTTCTCTTCAGATTTTAGTCATTATATTTTTTTGAAAATGACTTTTTCACCTTCTTACTTTTTCTCATTCTCAAAATTGCATTTGGTGTTTATTATTGCATCTCATTTGATTTATCCTTTATGTCTCCTAATGTCTCCTTTATTTTTCCCTCCTGATATTCTCCCTAAAATGATATATTACTTCAACTCTGTTCTCCAATCATGAATTCTTTCCATACATACTATTTAGGCCATCTGTTGGGTTTTGTTTGTTTCTTTGTTTTGTTTTTTTTTCCAATAACCTTACTTCCCCTCAGGTTTCCAAGTTATTTAAAAGACATTTGCATGGTGCTAATTAATAATCTGTTATTGTTTGGGGAATCTTACTCTCTTTGTTTGCTTCTTTGAGGTATTTAAATGTTTATTTGAAGCCCATTTCAGATTGTTTAAATATCTAAATATTTTTAGATGTGAATTGTCACCTTTGTTGGGCTTCTTGACAGATTTTCTTAGTTGTGAATTTTCCGTGGTTTTCTAGTTTTTGTTTAAAAGCTCATCATCCTAGGGTGTTTGTTATTGTTCTTGTTGTTTTCTTGCACAAACCCTTCCCTCCTTGTGGATGGTTGTTTCAGGCTTTATTGTTCACTTTGCTCTAAACCAGGTCATATATCAATAACTCAGTTTGGGCTGCCTCGTGCTGTAATGGTCTATTTCTACCTCTGTTTTCTTGTGCACTACTAGTCTCTGATAATGATCATGGACTGGGACCTCATCTACAACTGCCTACCTTGGACAATCAGTGTTTTTTAGGGAACAATTTTGAGTGGGGAGAGCTATGTCAGCCCCTGTTTATATTTAAGTAGTGTGACCCTAGTCCCCAACTTCGTATAGGAAGTCACTTGCAAGCTGTTGTTTCTCCTCAGCCATTTGGATCCAATCTATCCATATTCAGTCCCAGCTGCTAATGAACCATATGGCTTTGGCTCCCATATATTGCTGTACTTTCCTCCTATGTTTTATTCAACAAAGAGTTTTTCTGTGTGTTTCTGAATATGATTTTGCAGTTTTAACATTTTATTTATTTATTTTTCTAGTTTCACATTTCATCTCTCAGTTTTGAGAAGAACAGGGAGATTTCTCATGTGTTCTTTGCCATATTGAACCAGAATGCAACTGAAGATGAAACAAGAGTAAATAGGTTTAAATCATAGCAGAGAGAAATGGAGCTTGACAAAAGGAAGAACTTTGGAACACAGCGGTTGTTAAATCCTAGAATAAATGACTAAGGAGAATTTTAGTCTCTTTATTTAATATTTCTAGAAATAAGCACCCACCCATCTGAGATAGAGTTGGCACAGTCCTGCTTTGAGACAGGGCAATGGATGTGATGACTCTTCTGTGTTCCTTCCACCCCGGTGATTATTAGGCATGAGGAAACTCATGCCTTCAGGGCCACAGAAATGTTTGGTCAAAGAAAGGGGCTCTGGTTTTCTGTCTTAACCAGTGGAAAGCACTGTGATGAAACTGTTCTCATTTAAGAAGATAATATTTAAAGCCAAGATTATGAATAAGTTCTGTATAAAAAGGAGAAGACAAACAAGCAAACCATATGTCCAGATACTGGCTTTACATACTGTCTTATAGCAGTATTGCCTTAGAGGAGCTTTCACCTAGGTAGTAATAGACTCAGTGGAAGGGTCCTACCTATGATGCTTAGAGCTCAGTTTCCATTAAAGGAGACAGAGGAGCCATTTCATTTCATTTCATTTGTTTATGTATTTCACATGGCTCTTGCTTTCTAAACTCTTTACCCCTAAAATTTCCAAGGATCCCACCTGTATTTGAAGTTATCTCCCGCAGCTCCTGCTAAACCATGGAAATCACAGTATGCAGGCAGCTCTTCCGGAAATACCAGAGAGAAATCTTTACTGATTCCCACAAAGAGCAAATATTTTTTTTTCATCAGCACTTGTCCAAGTCTTGGCAGAGGTCAAGTCTTAGTCATATACCACAGTGCTCTACTGGGCCCAAAGAGGCTGCATGGAGGCTGGAACATTCTTAATGGAAAAGTCAAGACTGCATAGGAGTCATGAACGTCATTAAATTCATTCTGATCTCTAAGCAGGACTCTGTGGAGTCCCTGATAATTAAGAGATTTTAGAGACTTGTAGGAATTAAATTCCCTATCTTCCCTTTTGAGGGAATGAAGTGGTAATGCTAGGAGGGAAAGTAAAACAACATAACTTCTTTATATATATATATATGCACAGAGAGAGAGAACTTTATCATCAAAAGAAGACTTTTATAGTGATCAGGAGTCTAAATCATGATATTACCTAAGAGGGCTTTTTTAAATGGTCATTCCACTGAGAATTTGCTATTCAGAATTAATAAATTTGGGTTTTCCTGGAGGTATTCCAGCATTCCTGGGTTATTAAAGAGCTGTTATAAAATTGCCAAAATAACTGATTTAATCTGGTTAGCAGAGACCTAATCCACAGTGTTTGCTTTTGGCTAGGTGTGAAAAAGTTCAGCTGTATGAATGGTTTTAATAGGAATAGTGACAGTGTGGTTTTGTCAAGAGAGACACCCCAGTCTGAGAAATTCAAGGTAGGATAGGGAAAAGACCTGCACTATAGTATGTGTTTCCATAGGGAGAATGTGGGAAGCCATGTGTCATTTCTCTTTCAACAATAGCTGGGTTGTGTGAGCTAGCAAATGCAGGCATTTCTGCCACAATATAATATGCACATATCTGAAAATCCTCACATTCTGCAAAA